CATCATCATGTTCATCATCGTCATCATCATCATCATTTTCATCATTTGCTCATCATCAACCTCATGCTCATCATCATGTTCATTATCATGTTCATCATCATGTTCATCATCATCATCATCATCATGTTCATCATCATCATCTTCATCATCATCATCATTTTCATCATGTTCCTCATCATTCATCATCAAACTCGTGGCGCTCTTCTTACGTCCCAAGTGTGCCGTTAGACCTGACCTGAGATGCAGGGGATGCGTAGTCATGATTGTCATAATAACTGCTAGTGATGCTGGGGGTGCATAGTTCATCATCATCACATGATCATCATCATCATCATCATCACCATCTCATTGCATCACGAGGTGTTCCTACCGGCTTACTTCTCGCCAAGACGAGCGATGACACAAAGTCCACACTTCGCATCCACAGCAATACCTCGAAGTCTGGAGAACAAAAATAAAGGCCCCCAACATGGTTTTCCTGCCCGAGTTTCCACACACCCGGCGCACTTCTTGTAAAATTCAATGAGGTGGTTATTATCATGCGAATTTGTCCCGCAGTGGTTTGAGATGCAGGGAATGCGTCGTCATAAATATCAGAACAACTGCTGGTGATGCAAAAAATGCAAAGTAACAATTATCATCATAACTGCTGGCGATAATGCGAGTGCATAGTAATAATTATCAGCATCCCTAATGTTGGGTAAACAAATGAATCATCAAAAACATCATCATTATCTTGCTGCTCTTCTTTTTCATATATGCTTTACGTGTGCCATTAAACCCGACAAAAAAGGCGTAGTCATTGTTGTCATAACAGCGTCCCCAGTCAGCAAGCAGGGGCCGACGGCACAGGGCGGCAGCCCTTAAATCCGGGCGCCCCGAGCCCGTGGTTTCCTTGGAGGCCTTCGGTTCCCTCTAACCGAAGGTTATAAGGCTCGTGCCCCCTGCCGCCGACCCACTCTAGGTTCACTCTAGCCCCACTCTAGGTTCACTCCACGTTCACTCCGTGTCGAACGGAGGCTGCATTCACTGCTAAGTGGCGAAGGATTTGTGATTTTTGACGACTTGTTGAGCATATCACCTGCATCGTCCGCATCCATGGCGGACATTGATGCGGATAAGGCCGGTGATGCGGGGGATGCTGGGGATGTTGTCACCTGAGTCGGGCCAATTTTGCCGAGAACGTGCAAAAACACAGTGTTTTTTTAAGGTTTTTGGCGGGCGCAAACGTGGAAAATATGGAAACCTGCTTAGCAGGCAGGCTTCAACGGTCCCAGCCGAACTCGATTTTTGGTAGGCTTTTCGGTGAACCGCAGAAAAAACACTGTGTTTTCGATAGTTTTGTATGGATTCAAGGCCGGGCGCAAACGTGGAAAATGTGGAAACCTGCTTAGCAGGCAGGGCTCACCTCTCCCCGGCCGAGCCCGACTTCTGGCAGCGTTTTTGGCGAACCAGTGGAAAAACCAAGTGTTTTTGCTGGTTTCGTATGGGTTCCAGGCCGCGCGGTTGCGAAAATCATGACAGCACGTGCAAAACTGATGCTTTTCGGAGCGCCCGGTCTGTCAGGCGTAAGCCCTTAAATCCGGCCACCGGACGTGATCGGGCCCTAGCCCGGAGGGCTTACCTTCAGGTATAAGCCGCCGACCATGCGCATACGTTTTGCATACGTTTGCGCTGGGCCCACCCTTATAAGCGGCGAAGGATTTGCGGATTGGTTTCAAGGTTGTTTGTCGCATCTCCCCGCGGCGTCCAAAAACGAGTGTTTTCGGGGGTGCCTAAGACTGGACAACACTTCCAGCACTGTCAGCATCCATCCCGGATGATGCGGATGATGCTATGCATGCTGGCGATGCGAGACAAGGGGGGGCTGAAAATTGCAGAATCGAAGGAGAAATGCAAGGGAAACAGGAGTGACTGGAAGTGAACGAAATAGAAGCGAAAAATGCAGGGGCAGAACGCGAAGGAGGATGGGAACGAAAAGGAAATTATTGGAAACGAAGAGAAACTGAAGGATGTGCAGGAAACTGACGTGAAATTGGAAGCGAGGTTGAAGTCACGGGAACCAAAAAGAACGGCAAAGGAGTGCGAATGAAGGGGCGATCAAGGAAACAAGGGACATGAAGCGAAAGGAAGTGAAGGGAAAAGCCAGGAAACTGTCGGACATGACATGCAAAGGAAATGAAGTTCAAATCTCGGGAACTAGCGGGAATTCTAGCGGGAATTAAAGGCAAAGGAGGTGCCCGGTGGCCGGCTGTGTCGCGTCAGCGTGTAAATCCGGCCGCGCCCCCCGAAGGGGGCGAAGGGGCTGTGTGTAGATCCCTCCCACCCGCTGGGGACTCCTTACCCCTCCCCACAGGAAGCAAAACACTGTGTTTTTGACACTTTCGCGTGGGCGCAAGGCCTCGAAAAGCGTGAAAAACATAAGTTGTTTGCGGAAACCTGCTTATTGGTGAGGCTTCACTGGCCCCCGCCAAATGCTTTGGAGATTGCATTGCCTACAGCGAAGTGTCTCGAAATAAGAGTGAGTGAGTGAGTGAGTGAGTGAGTGAGTGAGTGAGTGAGTGAGTGAGTGAGTGAGTGAGTGAGTGAGTGAGTGAGTGAGTGAGTGAGTGAGTGAGTGAGTGAGTGAGTGAGTGAGTGAGTGAGTGAGTGAGTGAGTGAGTGAGTGAGTGAGTGAGTGAGTGAGTGAGTGAGTGAGTGAGTGAGTGAGTGAGTGAGTGAGTGAGTGAGTGAGTGAGTGAGTGAGTGAGTGAGTGAGTGAGTGAGTGAGTGAGTGAGTGAGGGAGCGAGCGAGCGAGCGAGCGAGCGAGTGAGTGTGAGTGAGTGAGTGAGTGAGTGTGTGTGTTGAGTTGATGTCAGTGTGTGTTGTGACGTTACTACTGTGCACTACCTGCCATCTTAGTAGATGTTTTTTGCCACACGCTTATGGGCCTGCTTCCTTCCGCAAACGTGCCTCGCGCAAGTTGCCCCGTGCTTCGAACAGATTGCAGTAAACTGAGGCTGCCGGCGCGGCCGGTGGTGCGTCAGCAACGTAAATATGTAGGCACATACACATACATATGCACAAACGCGCGCCAACTCCAAGATCCATCCGAAGAATCTTGTCTCCGGGTGGCCGCCTGGAACACTTGTGAATGCTCTGTTCAGTGCTGTCTTGAGAGCTAATTGCCTTTTGCAGGACTCCGCGACTGGCGGACTGGCGGACTGGCGGACTGGCAAGCCAGGTCAAGCCGAGTCCCCCAGCTCGCCCCGGCCGAACTGGCGGCCTTCGGTGAAGCCAGCATCCAAGTCAACACCTGGCAGGTCTCGAGAAGTGTTCCATGAGTCCAGAAGCCAACTGCGTGCCATCTTTGGTCCAATTTTCACCAAGTCTTTGAAGCGGCTGCGCGCTCCTGGCAAGAGTGTCGAAGCGATTGCCTAACACCTCCACAACTCCTTAGTTTGTGTTTTTGCATGAGAACTTGGGTCCGGGCGGATCACGCGCTCGTCGAAGGTGATCTTGTTCCTTTGGCACGCAAAGAACTATGGGTAAGACAAAGACAGCGGGTCGAACACAAGGAGAATTGCTCGAGGACTGTGTAAGATGCTTGGGAGACAGAAGCGGACCCCTCCACGCGAGTTTGCCAAGAGCTACATTGCCAGAAAGTACAAAAAAACAATGTGAGCGATGAACAACGCTTTTGGGGAAAATACATTGCGTCAAAGTTTGCCACTACTTTACCCATTCCCAACGCTTTTGATGTAAGCTGGGTTCTATTGTTACCAGACCCAAAACCGACGAAAATCATGTCTTTCTTCGGCCGTGCGGCAGCAAGTTCACCGCCTGCTCAGCTTGCTCCTGATGAAATCGGGCAGGTGTGGCACAACTCGCATCTAGGTAAGATGAATTCGATCAAACTCGATGAATTCCAATTGACGCTTTGTTGCAAAGGTGGTCAAGATTGCCTTAACGAGGAAGCCATTCGTTCACCGAGAGGGAACATCGGAAAGTTGGGGCAACCTCGACAAAATTGAAGTTGCAGCATCAAAAGCAATCAAAAGACTTGCACAATTGAAGGAGCCAAAGGCAGCATGGCGAATCTCTGATCAGCAAGAGAACGCGTGGGCCAGAACATATGGGGAAAGGTTCGCTGATTGGCGGCACGCACCCCTCCATACATGAAATTCCCGACTCTTCTTTGGCCTGAGAAGTCCGGTTACCACCCTCCCCTGTTTGAGTGGGATCGCAAAGCTCAACAATAATCTTCCATCCCTCACCCCCCTCCTATGGAAATTGTTGAAGCGCAGCGGCAGCAAAGCACAATCTATTGCCCGAACATATTCAAAGAAGTTACCAACTGACAACATGTTCACATGCTGAAAAAAGGCTGTGGCTCAAATTACAGAGACCCGCTAAGCCAGGCCGGCAAGAAAACTCACCCACAACTTGTGGCCATAAAAACTTGTCTGCACCACACAAGCCAAGCAAGTATGGAAAGCCCAACCGCCTTTTGCCCGAAGCTCGAAGCCGAATCAAGTTTGAAGCGGGAATTGATGCAACTGTTGCAGACATGCAAATCATGTACAAAAGATATGTCGAACCACTGCAGTTCATTGGTCATGCAGCAATGTCCCCCCCCTTGTGCTCAGGATGTTGCGTGCATGAAATATTCCACGAAGCAGAAGCCGCAGGGGTACTTGTTTGTTCGGTTCAAGCCTCAGCTCGCTCAAAAGCGCTTGCGAGACTGCAGGTCACAAATGGCGCAACAAAGAATAGCTTGCTCGTAGCCGTTTTCCACGCAACGTGTGAGAGCTTCATTCAGGGATCAGCGTAAAGTGCCCAGGTCCAACATGTCTGCCCATGTCAATCCATGACCTGCCAGACTTGGCCATCCTTCGAGCCCTGGAAGAATCCGTGTTTTGTTTATGGAAAATGGCATCCTCACTTCAAGATAATAGCTCGTTCCACCCTGTCCAAGCCTTCTAAAAGCCTCCAAAAAACAAACAACTGGGGATACCGCCCATGATCACACGCTTGATGTCGCCACACTTGGAGAAGAGCTCATAGATCTGTTCCTCCAAAAGCGCACGACAGCGCAATACGTGTTCAGTCAACGGATACCAAACTGATGGGGCTTCCGGCAATACTCCCTCAGCATAGGTTTAAAAACGGGCGAGGGCCTGACCAGGACATGTTCTTCTTTTTTTGGAGCATACGTGTCAGCGAGACAAGGGCAAAATTATACCTATTGCTTTGTTAGAGAGGACACAGAAAGCAAGGCCGCACTGCACCATTCCCCAACGTCCGTCCTCGCGTGTGCAAAACGCCAAGTTGCCCACGTACACCGTACGCGTCACCTTGATGGCCTGCGGGACTTCTGTGGCTCTGTGAAACTGATCGATCTGCGAGATTTGTCCACGCCTTTTTGCAAAGACCGTCGGAGACTTCAAGCACCCGTCAAGGTGCACGCAAGTTTCCCGCCTCAGCCCATTTCCTGGAGTTGTAGCCAGATCGCTTGTCGATATAGAGAACCTGCCTGAGGCAAAAAGCGAGCGAATGTCAGCAAACACTCAACACATCCAGCGCTATGGCGTGGTGGCAACAATGCAAGGCTGAGACTCAGATTCAAAGCATGACTTCCGAGGACCTGTGCTTTCTGTGCTTCATGTGACCCCAAATTATCTGACCAAGCAGGGCACGGGGCCAGCTCTCTGTAAAGGTCAGCCATGGCAATACAGGCAATGCTGTTTTTTTCTTTGTTAATTGTGAATGTGAAGATTATGGCACTGACGATGATGGTATCGTTCATGAATGTCTGATCCTCTTTTGTTTGCTTGACACACCTCGCTTGTTCTTGCGACCAAACGTTGACCAATATGCAGCCATGCCGTAGCCCTGATAGAACCAACTCAAGCATCACAAAAAAAGATATAGTCTGGCTGAACAATTGCGAGTTACAAGATGCACAAAATGTGCTCTGCACCGTTCAATTGCCCTCAAGGTTGCTCATCAAAACCAGAAGCAACCAAAAGAGAGGAAAACGGACAAAACCTTGCACCGCTTTCGCCATGGTTTGCAAAAGAAAAGGGGGAGCGGGGTGCGCAGCTTGTTCAATGGCAAAAGGGAGAGGCAGTGCAGGATTTCGTCCGTCAACCGTAGCATTTCAAGCGTTGTGTTCAACTGCAGGCGCATGTGGATATAAGAAATGCGTTTGTTTGCGCGCGTTACTCCGAAACTAAAACATATCAAGCACCGCGCCATGATTCCCATTAGGCATTGTGTTGGACGATGTTTCAGCTGCCGTGGTTTTACTCCGTCGGAAAAAAAAAAAAGTGCTCATTTGTGTTTGCGGAAACATGCCGCAATAACTTCAAGACATGCAGGCCCAAAATGCGCACACCACGTGGTCCGCATGTTGTTGATTGGCTGTTGCCGGATTGCCTTTAGCTGCAGAAAAAGATGTGTAAATCGTACACAAAATCACGGGAAAGATAAGGCTGACATTGATCTTATTGCTGCCAGTGGGCACGTTTTCATTGGCAGCCAGAGCCCAATTTCAGTCAAATGATCGGCAATGATTGTCGAACCCGCCCTGCGCTCGCTGCTCTCCTTTAGCACCTCCCTGTGCTCGAGATGGCGGACGTCGGCCACCGCCTTCCAAGTCGATCTTGCACTTGACACGCTTGTCCTTGGCGCGCTCACCTTGACGGCGCTGGAGCTGGCTCGAGCTCGGTGCGGGCGGCGCCCGGAAAGGGCTTCTGCGTCCACAGCTCCAGGTCGGTGTTGCTCGCAAAGAGTAGTAAGGAAAGAAGGCTTATACTACCCAATTAATTTTGGTTTTTTGGTCCCAAAACCCTGCAAAACAGCCGAATTCTCCATCCAGCTGAACGTTTTTCCGATGTCACCGGTCTTCGTCACCGCTCCGTTTTTGGTGCAAAAAGCGCTCAAAACGGCAAACTCCGAAAAGTTCGTTTTTTCGTGTCAGACGAGCCTCCAGATTCGCTCGTTTTCGGTCGAAATCAGGCTCCAGACGCTCGCTGTGCTCTGGCTTCCGTTTTCTGCCCGGAAAAGCAGGCAAATTCCATCCCGCCGAGCTTGTCACCGTTTGTCACCGCTTCGTCACCGCTCGCTTTTGGGCCGAAAAAGTGCGCAGTTCCCGAGTTCCGGAGGACTTCGTTCTTCGCAGGGTTTTCCGTGGCACGGCCGAGGACCTTGCTCGTAACGCGGCAGCCTGCCGAGGTCCTGGCTTGTGACACGACAGCCTGCCGAACTTGTCACCGCCTTTGTCACCGCTCCGTTTTTGGTGCAAAAAGTGCTCAAAACGGCCAACTCCGAAAAGTTCGTTTTTCGTGTCAGACGGCAAGTGGGATGCCTGAGCCTCTAGTTTCGCTCGTTTTCGGTCGTGGATTCCGTTTTCAGCCCGGAAAAGCAGGCAAATTCCATCCCGCCAAGCTTGTTTGTCACCGCTTCGTCACCGCTCTCTTTTGGGCCGAAAAGTGCGCAAAAGCGGCCAAGTTCCCGAGTTCCAGAGGACTTCGTTCTTCGCAAGTTTGAGTCAATATTGGAACGGGTTGATTCATTAATGGGCAATGTTTTATTAATGCCCGGCCGCAGGTGGGAACCGCAGGTGGGAACCGAGCCCCGGACCAGGGGTGGTGCAGAGACAGCGCTCTAACCACTGAGACAAGGGAGCTGCTAGCGCTTGAGCGCCCGAGGTGTCCCACGGCCTGTGTCGCCCCATGACACAAGCTTTCGGTCCTATAAAACTGCATAGCTACATCGGTCAATTCATCATGTGCTACAGGTGTCCCAAGTGTTTTGACCAACGCCATCGAGCTGGACCATGAAGTGAAGCATATTTTCCCTCACTTCATGTCCTGGTAGCCGAGCACGGGAAGTTGATTTGAGGGATATTTTCCCTCAATTCATGTATGGTCCAAAGCGACTCAAGATGGCGTTGCGAAATTACAACAACCCGCGTTACAAGTACGTAACACAACCAGACTTTGGTCGCTCCTAAGAAAACATGTTTGAAGGACCTGTCACGGGCAACATCCCGGAGGTCCTGGACAACGGTAACTGACGGCACGCACGTCACCGCAGGGCAGCTGGCCCTCGCTCTGACGCCCTACGCGCAAGTGGCTGACCTGGCTGTGAACACGGCAGCCTCTGGCAACAACGCAGCTGCCATCCAGTCCCTGGACGACCGAGTCGCCGCAGAGCTGGCCTCAAAGCTGGACAGCAGCGTGCTGGCGCCGGCAATTGCGCCTCTGGCCACGGCGGCGGCCCTGGCCACCACGGACGGACAGGTGGCCGCGCACGGAAGCAGCATCGCAGCGCTGCAGAGCTCGCTGACCACGGGTCTCTCCAACAAGGCAGACCAGTCGGCCTTCGACGTGCTGGAGGGCGTGGTGGCCACGAAGAGCACCCCCGACAGCGTGGACCTGAAGCTGTCGAACTACAGCACCACGGCGGCCATGAACGGCTCCATCGCCTCGGCCAACAACGCCACGCTGGCCACGGTGGCAGCCAACTACGGCCTCAACCTTCACGGCCACGAGCGGCGGAGTGTCGACGGGCAGCGTGGTGTGCGGCGACGTGACGAGCTCGGGTCTCCGCTCCGCAGCTCTTCGCGTCCAACACGCTCACCGTGACCAACACCTCCGACTTCTCGGACGATCTCTTGTCGACGAAGAACTGGGCGGGCTGGAGCAAGCTGCAGATCTCCAACAACAGCGCGGCCTCCGACAGCGGCCCGGAGCTGCGGCTGCTGGGCAACCAGAGCGCGAGGGTCTTCCTGGAGCGGGACGGTGGGGCGCACCAGTGTGAGCTCATCATGATCAACGACGAGCTTCACCAACCTGTCGGACAGCAGGGTGAAGACGGAGATGGCCGAGGCCGACGTGGCAGAGCACATGAACGGGGACCTGAGGCGCTTCGCCTCAAACGACTTCGCAAAGAACCTGACGGGCACCGCCAGGTGCTCTGGGGGGTGCGCAAGGGCTTCCAGGGCCGGCTGGACGAGGTGGAAGCCTGGCAGGCCCAGCGGGGGCCGAAGAACCCATAAGAAACATGGCTGACGCCCGCAGACGAACCATCAAGGCCGTCTACGAGGATCCCCGCACCGGCTTCGGCAGCATAGCGCAGACGCTGCAGCAGGCTCAGGTGCGCGACCCCAGCATCTCCAGACAGGGCCTCCGGGTGAACCAGGACCAGCCGCAGAAAGGCTACAACAGCTTCGTGCCTCTAAAGCCCCATGAACCAGCTGCAGGTGGACCTGGCCGACACAGGGCAAGCCCTACCCCTTCATGCTGGTGGCCATCGATGCGCTGACCAAAAAAGTGGCCGCGGAGCCGCTGAAGGACCGTCTTGCGACCACCACCGCGGCGGGCATGAAGAAGGTGTTCCAAGCCCTGGGGGTGCCGGCCAACGTGTACTCCGACGACGGCTCCTGATGGATTTCTGGGACATCGAGAAGCAGGTGACCAGGGGTCACGCGTACTTCGCGGAGCGCACCATCCGCACCATCAAGGAGGCCATGTTGCGTCGCATAGCAGCCGGAGCGCCGGCGGGGCCAGTGGCACCTCATGCTGCCTGACGTCTTGAGCCAAATCAACGGAAGGAAGCACGCTACCACGCAGGTGGCGCCGAACCTCGCCTACTCCGACCCCGAAATGGCCGAGATTGCTCTGCGCAACATCGAGCGCAGGGCCAAACACATATGGTTAGGATCAGGGTTAAGCCGATCGAAAGCAGGGGCTTCTACAGGGTCGAGATAGCCTGGAGCGAAAAGGCATACAGGGTAGCCTCCGCCAGGGAGATCGGAAAAGGTGGTCCACAGGGATCTCAGAAAAGTCCCCGAAAACGCAGCTCCCAAGCCGCGGGGGCTGGAGGCTCCGAGCTCCCAAGCCGCGGGGGCTGGAGGCTCCGACAGCTCCGCCCGCCACTCACTGACGTCGGGTCGGGGCGGGGGGGACAGGGGCAGTGGGCCCACGCGTTTTGCCTCCGCGCTCTCCAGCTTCTCCTCGAGGATCTCGATGCGGCGGCGCTGGTGCGAGCGCTCGGCCTCGAGCAGCGCATCCTCGAGAGGCCGCTTGTTGGGAGGCCGCTGGGCCATCAGAGCGGCCGCAAGGCTGGGAGCGTCCTTTTGTCCTCGCCGACCGAAGCTCCTCCGTGTTGGGTTAATCCTCAAACCAGCGCAGGGCAAGCTCGGCGTGGCGGAGCACAACGTCACCGTGGCGCGCGCCTTCACGAAACTCATGGGCGCGTTTGTGACTTTTTGGGACAACGACGCGGGCTCCAAGATCCACTTGCTGGCCAACCCGGGGCAGGACGTGGCCCCCATCGGCGCGGCCAGGCAGGAGGACAGCGTCTGGAGTCTCAGATGCAGCTGGGCAGCCCTGCAGTACTCCCATGAAGGGAGCCTCGGAGCACTTCCACTTCCTCTCGGTCCTTGCGGGCACCTACGACGACACGGTGCGCAACATCGACATCGGCCGCGCGGGCTACCTGCGCCACAGCTTCATTGCCGGCTTTCCCACCGAGCGCCGCTGAGTGGTGTCAGCACCCGCTCGGGCGACCTTGCCCGGTTCACCTTCAAGGGCCTGGACGGCACGATGACGGACCTGTTCATCCACCTGGTGGCCTACCAGCTGGTGACGCTCTCCGGCACGGGCGTCTCTGCGCTGGACTAGAAAAAGGCCCGGTGCCACTCTGCATCATTTTTGA